CCTTGGTTGTGTAGTGGACAAAACACAGAGCTGCTAACCCCAAGATTTGAACCCACCAAGTCACCTTGCAGGAGAAAGGAGAGGTTTTCTGCTCCTGTAAAGGTTTTTCGTCTGAAAAACCCCAAGGAGCAGTTCAACTCTGTCCTGTAGGGTCACTCTGAGTTGGCATTGATTCCATGGCAGTGAGCAGTAGTAATCCATTTTGTTTCGGTGATGCAAGTTTGTCAAGCAGAATGCAAGTTTAAGAAGCTGTACCCTCAACAATAGATGGACACAGTGGCTGTAACAGTGGATTAAAATGTAACAGTTGTAAAAATGGTACGGGATTGGCCTGTGTTTTGTTCACAGGGTCAGTAGGAGGAACACCACCACCAACAGAACCTATTAGAAATATATTTGGAATTTGTGTTTTCAAGATGAATATTTTCCAGATTTGTGATGAGTAGTTAGTTGTATTAAAAGACATTGTCCACTTTGGATGATCAAGTGTCTTAGGATTCAGCTAAATGCTGCTCATTATGAACCCAAGGGATTATCTATCTATCTATCTATCTATATCCTGTAAATCTGTATATCTATTTATCTATCTATATATGAGGGGGGTACCCCCCAAATGGATTTTTTCCCCAAAGTTAGGTATTTAATTATTTTTTACAAAACAACCTTATCACCTTCAAGTACTTTCCGTCACACATAATACATTTGTCAAATATGCGATTCCATTCTTGGAAACGGTTTTCAAACTCATCTGTTTCTATGGCTGACATCATCTTCTCATTTTTTTCTTCACCTCTTCTAAGTCGTCAGCCCAATTGCTGTACTTTTTCATGGCCCCCTTTTGGAGAAACAAAAAGAAGTCATGGAGTGAGGTCAGATGAGTCAGGTGTGTAGGGCAAGAGAGGCATGCTTTTTTTAGCCCAAAACTGGCACACTGACATGGCTGCATGAGCAGGAACGATGTTGTGGTAGCAAAACCAGTCCCCCGTCTGCCACAAATCAGGCCTGGTTTGTCACACACTGTTCAGCATTCTTTTCAGAACCTCTAAATAGAAAACTTGATTAACAGTCTGACCTGGTGGATCAAACTCCAAATGCACTAGAAGTGGACATTTTCATCCTTTTGGGAAGTTGATCGATGTCCAGAACGAGGCTTAACATCAATCAACATTTTAACTTTTTTGAGCTCAGAAAACCACTTGTACACTTGAGTTTTTCCACTGGCATTGTCCTTGTAAGCTGTGTTCAACATCACAACAGTTTCTGCGACATTTTTCTCGAGCAGAAAACAAAATTTCACAGGCGCCATCACAAAATTGGCAATTACAAAAAATGACAACCAGCAAAACTGCTTTCACAAAGAAATTCACTGTGACCATAGAGGATTTTCCCAGAGGATTCCACTGGGAAGCTTCCGTGTGTGTGTGTGTGTGTGTGTGTGTGTGTGTGTGTGTAGAGTATTATGTGCAGTGCAGCTGCAGCATTTTAGGGCGGGCTACCCTCATATAATTAGTATCTCTAGGTAGATGTATAGATAGATATTAATACTGATTTACAGCTTTGGAGACCTTGTAGGGAAGTTCTGCCCAGTGCTGTGGTCTTGCTGTGAGTTGAAATTGACCTGATGGCTCCGGGCTTGGTTTAATGTGGTGTCGTGGTCTGTGTGCGCCTGTGTGTCTGTATGCTCCTACGTCTGGGAAATGTAATATGAATTTGGGATTACTATGCATAAATTCTTATTAAAGTTTCTAATATTTATCGCCATTCCTTTGTTCTTCTTTAAATGATTAGTTCAGGCACACTGAGAGTTAAGAGAGCATAATTGGGTTAGAATAATGCTGGCTTCCAAAACTAAACACTGCCATCAAGGCCAATTGGACTCAGCGACTCTATAGGACAGGGTAGAACTGCCTCTGTGGGTTTCTGAAACTGAAACTATTTAAGAGTGTAGCAAGCATCATCTTTCTCAGAGTAGCTGATAGTTTCAAACTTAAGACCTTACGGAGAGCAGCCCATTGAGAAAGAATAGGCTATAGATGTGAGGTAAATAGAACCTAGAGACAAAATTCTGGGCCAGTCTCGACTAATTGAAGTAGTCTTTTGTTATGAGACTCCTGAGGACAGCCTACTAGATCATGTTGTTAGATTTGTAAAACTTTTGACTTATTTACCATTTTGGGAGAAACGGAAGTTTCATGTGTGTAAGAACTAGACCAAAAGATAGAACCAAATACACTGAACCTACTTACTGGTCAGAGCAACTTACAGAGAAGGCAGCTCTCTGACCTGTGACCCAGACGTATTACAGGATGTTTTAGATAGGTTGGCTTCTTGAACCTGCAATATGCTTTTTGTCTCTTTCTGTTGAAGTGGTGTGCATGTTTGAGAATGTCTATGTGTGCGTTTCTTTAACATGCAAGAGAAAATTGATGATTCTTAGCACAATTTACAATCTGACACCAATGGTTGTTCTAGGGCCTTCTATTTGGATAGTCCTTAAAATTGGACTATAAAACTAAAGACAGCTTTATTGGATTATAATTATCTTTTTATAGTTGTCTTTTCATATATGCAGTCGTCAACTAGGGCAGAAATTTGGGTGAGACATAAATTCAGTTTGGATTATATAATTTTATACTACGTATCTTATTATGTATTTTCATATTTCATTGAATTATATAAGTATTGATAGTCCTTCAGGCAGTGAATTTCGCACTGCAGATCTGACATTACGTCTCTCTTAGTCTCTGAAACCTGCCATCACCTTTGTCCCCACCATCATCTTCCAAAAGCTTACAAATATTCACATTAGCTGTTTTAATATGACTACATTTTATTTGATCATTACTAGAACTGGTTAAGAAGTAGCTCATGGGCTAAACACTTGGCTCCTATGAACCTTTGAGAAAAGGCTCATGGTCCAAACGCACTAGTGGCCCAAAGGAAGAAAAGATCTGGTGGTCTGCTACCATAAACTATATAGCCTAGAGCACTGCTGTGGGGCGTGCTACTCTCCTATAGGGTCACTGTGAGTTGGAATTGACTCAAGAACTCTAACAACAGATTTAGTATTCTGAGCCCTCAAATCACTGGTTAGTAGATGTATGATTGTTCCCTGATTCTTTAAATCAGACTCGGTAGCAACTATCAACCTTCCTCTGGTTTACATAACTGTATTAATGGGAAGTAGATGTAAGATGAAATAACTTGTGTGTGTATGTATTTATATGTAAATGTGTATTGGATTACAAGTCTAATATATATGAATAGTAAATCCACTGCCGCCTGGTCTGTTCCAACCCATTGTGGCCCAATGCAGGGTTTCCAAGGCTGTAGATTTTTATGGGAGCAGATAGGCTCATCTAAAAACATTCATATACCTACATATTTAAATATATATATATATATTTGAGAACTGTGTAAGTATTTAACTATAAATCTTTCTAACTTTGACTACCCAAGGTTCTATTTATCGTTACTGTTTATAATTTGAGCCAGATAAGAGACCAAATTATTTGTCATAAAAGGAATTTCAGTTCCTGAGAGTAATAAGGGATAATGATATAATGGTAGAAGTATCTATTTTTATTTGCTGGGAGTGAATGGGTTGATAGTGCGGTAAACTCAGCTTTGTGATAGCTGGGCTAAGTTTTAAGAAATTAGATTTCAGACCAACACAGGGGTATGCCAGTAATTAAGAGACGTGATACTGCTTTGTCCTTCTTGAGGGGCTTAGCAGCTTTACCTTGAGGAATGATGCGGATCTTGGCCTCGTGGAAACACACGTTAATTAATAGCCTTCTCTCCTAGAACAAAGTGCAAATCTTCCAGGCTAACTTTTATTTCAGTGCTGACTGTTACCATAGTTTCTATATTATTTTTGAGAAATTGGGAAAATTAGTCAACTTGTTCTAAAAAATAAACTACAAATGTTTAACATGAATTCTACTTGCTGGACTACAAAATTCAAACAAGAACCATCAGTAGATGTGAAGCAATGTCATAAAAAGGGAAGGAAGGAAAGGAAGACAGAACCAGACAAGGAGAGGGAGTGATAGAAAATACCTAGAAGAACCATCATGGGAAGCAAAAAACATGGGTAGTGCGCCTGCGGGCTATCAATAATTACTTTACACGTGATACCCTTGAACTCAAGATCATGTTTGTCTAGCAAAATATATAATGAAAAATGGTTTTTGTGTTGTTGTTTTTTAGTTTTAGTAATGCCATTTAACAATTTAGTTCTTTTAAGTATCTGTGCTGCTTTTTTTTTTTAGATTTTTAGATAGTTCACTGAAAATGTTTTCCCAGTGAACTACTTTAAATTTTACTGGTAATCAAAAACAAAGACTTCTTTAGATGGGTATTAACTGTATAAAAGTTCTCTTTTTAGAATATTTTTGATGAAGCAAAGGAAACATAAAAGAAAATGTAAATGAATTAATTTATAAGAAATCTCAAATACATAACAGACAACGGCTTGCACTTCTGTTAAGGTTTAGTGGGAGGTTATAGGTCAAGGTACTAATAAGAGTGTTTGGGATGTCTGCTGCCATGAAACAAAATGGAAACTTGATTGATAGCTAGAGGGTGGAAGGGAGAGAGTGTGGTGCAGAAAGCAAAGGTCAGGGAGCCATTTCCCTTCTCTGTATGTGTAACGATCAACCCCCTCCAAAACAAAATGTAGATGATATTGATCAATATGGCATGTGTTGTGCACATTTCTATGAGTATTCTGAAATGTTGTTATATATGAAGTTGTAATAGGTGTTTTAGTATTTTGAAAGCTAGAATGAAATCATTTACAAAACAAAGTGATAGCTTTGTTACCTAGGTTAAAGGAACTATAGAGTACTTTGTTAAACAACGTAGTGAAATGACTATGGTTTGGGTTGTTAGCAAAATGTTAACAATTTATTTTGTAAAGATAATTTTGAGAAAATTGTATGTAATAAATCTCTTATATTTGTTGTTGGTAATTTTAAAAATTCTCTTTAAAATAGGTCTGGTTTGCATGAAGTCTAGTAGTTCAGTTGTGGAATTGGTTATGCTACTGTGTTCTCAGGTGAGTGACAAGAATAAATACGGAATTAAAAGTAAATTCTTGTGGATTTCCTTTGGTATAATGCAGAAACATTTCTGTAATAGCATTTTGATTTTATTTGCATTGAAAAAGGAATACTTCTTGTTTACAGTACTAGTATTTAGATAACTTATAAGACAGTGCTGAGAAATCCAACTAGCTGAATGATATACAGAGGTTTATAGAGTCAAATTAAAATGTCCAGATTATACATAACCTTGATCTTGAGATGACTAAATCTTTGTGCTATGTATATTAAGGTCATGAAAACAGATTTATTTCTGTACTTTGTGTAGTGGCACCCTGACTCCCCTGGGAATAATGGGTTTACTTCCCTTTCGTGCAGAGGCTATAAAACGAGTGAGAAATACTCCTGAATCCTTGTCATTGCTAATTATTTTTGACATACACAATAGATTTGGGAAAACTTTAACAAAAACATGGCACTTATCATAATAAGATGTGAAAATAAATTCTTAAAAGGAAAATTGTTTTCAGTATAACCTTGTGTTTTGTGTAGTAAACTAATGATTTTTTAGAAACCCATCTAGAAATCATGTTTCCTGTGATGTTTTCTGTTTTGCAATTAAACAGATGAATGTTTTCATTGAGAGTTTTCTTTGTAGTCATTTAAAAATGATATCTTGATGGTAGTAAATTCCCCTACTTAAAACTTTAAAATAGCCTTTTTTAATAGGAAGGGTATTGGTCTAGAGGTCAAGGGTTCTGACCCATTTCAAAACCTTTGACCTTCATTTACAGCTCTCTTGGTTTACTTGCCTGACGAATAAGGATAATGCAAAATTAATGTTTCTTTGCATCGATTTATTCATTTTACTGCCTATATTGCCAAATTTATTTAGGCTGTGCTGATGGACATTTCATGAATACAAATTAAAGAATCATAGAAGGTGTAAAAAATCAATACTATGCATTGTCAGTAAAGTGCAATAAGAACAGTTACTTCGAAAGATAACAACAAATGGATTTTTATAATGAACTTGTGAAAAGTAGCTATGTATATTTCTAGTGGGACTATTATTCTTAGATTTAGTGAATCTTGTTTTTAAACTTAATCATCTCCTTCAGAAACTCATTTCTTCAAAAGCTGACTGGATAAAATTTTCCATTATGACTTGAAATAATTGCTTGTTTATGTCTCGGATAGAATTACTATTTACTTTTTTTTTTATAACTGCATGAAATTATCCTTATTTTTCAGAAGAAGTCATTCACAGTGGGAGATAATTCTCTACGAGAGGATAAGTTTGTCACTCATAGTGATAAAACTGTTTCATAGGTGAATTTAGATAATGAGATTGTACGTTCCTAGAGATTTGAACATATCTTTGGCATGGAAGACATTTTAGTTGTGTATATTATATAATTGAATGTTTGAAGCTAATGCGATAAAGAATGAGATGCCTTCATATGGCTATTTGTCATTCCTTTAATACTAACTTAATCAAATGGAGAGTTCGTTGCCAAAGTCAGAAATTCTCAAGGTTTTTGTGTGCATAAAATACATTAGTGGTTATTTGAAGTCCTGAGCATTTTTATGAGGTCTTCAAAAGTTCCACGGCACCTTCACAAGATGTAGCACAGTGTGAAGAATGATGTGAAAAATGAAGCCAGAATTAGCTCCAGATGTATACAGATTGTTCCGGGGTGATAATTACATTTTTCACTTTGAATTTTCCTAATTCAAAGAGGTCAGCTTGGCAATCACAAAAGTGATTTATTCTGTTAAGAAGTGAACTGTCTTTTTCTACACGAAAGCTTAAGAGATATGAAATTGAATTTTAAGTCGACATTTTGCAGATACTGGGTGGGGATGGCTTGAGTTTGATTGATAATTTTTTTGCTACTCTGAGATAGAGTGGGAAGTGAAAAGCTACCATCTTGCTAAAATTTTAATTAATTTTTTAAGAGGAGATGGAGAGGATTGAGTGCCAAAGATCGAAAGATCAGGTCAAAAACTCCTTTTTAATCACATAAATAATGGGATATGCTTATGAACTTAACATCTGCAAATTTGATTTAGAACTTTACAAATTAGTTGATGTTAATTCATGACAATCAGCCATGTCTGATTATTGTTTTTTTAATCTATTCCAAACTCTTTTTTTTTTTTTTTTTGGTGCTTCTTTTTAAACAAATTATTTAAAGGAAATGTGTTTTATTACGATAGAGTTTACAGCCAAAATTTAAGAAAGTAGGAAATGATCACGTTTGATATGCTGCGAGCACTAAACAGCACATCACTACACAGATGATGGCTACGTCTTTTCATAAAGCTTAATTGGGTTAAGTTTTCAAATGTTCAGTCAATCATTAATAGTTGATTGGGGAACATTTCATACTTAATTATATTTACATTTTAACATTATTTAGGCCAAATATATTAGAAAGCTGAAGAGTTTCCTTATTATAATGTCCTATAATACTATTACAATAATGTTACCGAACTAACGCAACAATAATGTCACTTTTCTAATACAACACAATCCAGATTGGGAACCTCTTTCATTTCTAAATCTGCCCTTTAAGACAAATGTGCATGTAAATTGGAACAATTGGGTACAGTTTGTGTCAATATAAGTTAGTCAAATGTTTGTCTTAGTATGTATAGTTAATACCAAAATCAAATTCACTGCCATCGAATGGATTTCCACTCCCTACATAGGGTTTCTGAGTATAAATCTTTATGTGAGCAGACAGCCACTTTTTTCTGCTGTGGAGCAGCTGGTGGATTTACATTCACAACTTTTTGATTAATAGGCAATGCTTATCCTACAGTACAGTCAGAATTACTTATATAGTATATAGTGTACCATATTATGCTTAAAAACATCAGTGAAACACCTTTAGATATACTGAAACCTGTTTAACATAATGGTACAATAACAACAACAGTGTTAACATCTTGATGCACATTGAAAAGCAGTGCGCATTTGTTATTATGAACCAAAATTAGCTCAAAATTGTGAAGGCTTTATGGTGGTTGATTCAAAACGATGGGTTATACATAAATTGGACATTCATAATCTGTGACTGCCTGTATATACAGGTATTTTTGTGTAGAGGTTTACTAAATTAGGTTGTTTATATAACTAACCACATATAAAATAATCAAAGGTCTGTTTCGGCCTAAAAGACGGCTTTAGAGTCTTTGTACATCTGTAGGAGGGGCCGTCGATGTGCATTCAACTGCTCATATTACAGGTCAGCATTTCGAACCTACATGCTGCTGCTCTAGAGAAGGATGTGATAGTCTGCTTCTCTGAGGATTTACAGCCTTGGGAACCCTGTGGGGCAGTCCTGTTCTGCCTACAGGGTCGCGGTGGGTCAGAATGGTTGGAAGGGTAGTGGGTTTGCTTTGGGGTTTTAAAATCTTTCAAATAAAACGGCATACATCCTTCAGTAAATGATGCATTGTCTAATGCACACACAAAATGAACAAGTTCTCAGCTGTTTTTCAGATTCAGTTTTTTTTAATGCAATTCAATGTGCCGCATATTGCATATGTTAAAAATCTTGTAAAAATCCATATGCATTTAAAGAAAATGTTAAATGATTGTTTCAAATAATAATACTCGGGCACTGTATAAAGTGTTTGTTTCTTGCTTATTTGACATTAATATCATTTTTGAAAGAATTGACATTGCGTTCAAGGCCACTTTATAAAAGCGTTGCGTTGCTCATCCTAATTCAGCCTGACATACATTCCAATAACACTACCTCCCTTCTTGGGTTTAAAGCTAAATTTATGACTGTGCATTGTGAAGTGCATCATTTAAAAATGGTTTCAACCCAAAACATCTAATAAATAAATAATGTGTATGGCTACTCAGTAGTAGACTTTCTAGACTAGAAATCATTCCATCGGATACTCAACAGTCCACTATCGGAGAGGGCTGTCAGATAAATCTTGTGGTAGCTGCATTCATGTCCTGTAAATCACATATTATTGTCTGAGTCTTCTGCCAGGTCATCTATTCTTTTCCCATTTATCAGAAATGCATACAGTATATAGAAAAACTAGAAGCACTAGGTAGTCTGGCCTCGCAATTCTGTCTGAGTTATTAATTACCAGCAAAAGTTAATTTAGAACACTGTCTGATACTTTTTTGAAACAAATTTCACCAAAGTATATACAATGTTGCTAATTGGGAACCATTGCCTTCCTGTAATGTAAGGTCTGACCATTCTTGACTGGTTATATTTTCCTTTCTACATCTATGAATTATTCACTTAAAATGATAATATTCACAATTAGAAAGAAATAGCATTCACTCCTATTCTTCTTTTTTATCAATTTTTGTGTTTAAATTTTTACCTCCTTAGTTACCCCTTTCAATTTTATCACAAAATGTTCCTCTCCTAGAATTTCTTTTCCTTACTTCTAGTTTTCCTTTCATTTTTGAGATTAGCCATTCTGAATATGTTACACTAATGCTGGCTTTGACATCTTCATAAGTTTTTCCTTGATAAAGATTTGATAGATATTTTGGTTCTGGGTAAAGCACTAACCAAACAGCACCACAAATTAACTCTGTGTATGACACAAAGCTTTATCATTAGGTCTCTGTTACTGCTTGTTTCTCATCGTCTATACTATATATAATATAGTATATATCATATCACATATAATTTCATATTAAATCTCAAGTCAGGCTGAAATATTTATAGTTGCCCAACGGTGCCGTGATGTGTCCGTGTCTAGGCACAGGATTTTTCTTTCTCTTAACTTCCCCTCCAACTCTGGTCTTATTGTTGCCTTCTCATCATGCTGAGTGCTCTGGTTAACGATCTCTTTCTCAGACTTTGTCTCGATAGTTGATACCTCTTCTGTTTATTGTCAGTTTAGTACCCATCATAGCATTGACCAGAGATTTGTATTTATGTATGTATTTGTTTTTTTATCAGACTTTCTCTGTGTAATCTGTTTTATGAGGATAACAGCTATTTTTTGTTTTGTG